CCCACTCAGTTTCTTGTATTATAGGTAGTGGCACCAGAGCATAGTTGGATGACTTGCCGATGGATTATGAATTATAGGCTAATAGATATAAATAAATGATGTAAGCCTATGTTATTCTATTTATGCTTTTGATCAGTATCGAATATGACATCCCGAGGTTTTAATATAATTAAATACATTTCTTCAGAAATGCTTTGATAAATCTTTATCATATTTTTCTTTTGGGAAAAAATTCAGCAACACTTTTCTTTAAAAGGTTACTCTAATTTTCAAATAAAGCATAAACAAATCGGTCTTTTCTGACCGTGAAAATGAGGATGTCACATTATAACCCTCCAAACCCTAATCCTCTCAGCCTCCCTTGTCCTCACTACCCCGAATTCAGAAACGACTTGAAACATGGTGTTATAGAGTTTCAGAAAAAATGAGAAGGTTACTGAGCAGAACTATGTTAGTGACGCTTTGTCGGAACTTGTCGATCTCCTTCTTCACGTGTGCGGCATCATTAGAAGTCGTCGATGGAATTTCAGATGAAGGGTTTTAGATTGAGGTGTTGTCGGAGGAATAAGGAGGTGAGAAGAGGGGAGAAGGGAAGTGTCGTAAGGAGGGGTGGAGATTTTTGGTTTATTTTCTTTTTTCCTTTTAATTTAAAACTGATAAAAATAAAAGAAAAGACAAAAATAAATTATTATGGGTAGAGCAGTCATTTAATGTCAATAGGGATTAAATGTGCAAAAAAAAAAAAAAATCAAACCTAAAAACAGTTGAATTAATTTTTAAAAATAAGGATTAAACATTTATTTGACACCAAGGACATGACTGGTGTAATTTAAGATGATATTAGGTTACAATTTAAAAACTAATAACGATAGTTTCCACTAGGATGTTATTCAGGTCGGAATCAGACCGAACCGACCCGAACCAGAATATCCCGAAAACTGAATAAGGGTAATTGTATTAATCGAAAACCGAACCGATTAACCAATATGTGTTCGGTTTGGTTCGTTATTATCCGAATAACATGTACAAGATGATTAAGGACTTAATATAAAAAAAATACGAATAAATTAACCGTGTTAGGATTATATAACCCGAATAATAAAATAACAATGTACTTTTATTCATCAACATAAAACAATTAAGAACTAACATAACACAATAACATATTGAAAGAATAACATTTACTTAGTAGTTAACATAATGAGAATTAATTGATTACTTGAGTTTGAGCCCAATTTTCCATGAGTAGACAAAGTAGGAATTCATGATTTCTTAGAGTTAATAGGAAGGACCACTTTTTGAAAGTTTGAAACAAGAAGAATGGTCAACAGAAGTGATTTCGAGTTTGGCAATATAATTGAGAAGATTAGTTGATTTTGAAACGACAAGGACGAGCGTTGGTTTTTTTTTTTTTTCTGTGATGAACGACGAGGATAGAAGTATGAATCATGATTTTGATTCCTGTTAATCAGAGAAAGGGGACAAAGAATGTGTATTCGGGTCGGGTATTTAGAATCGGATAAGCTTTTATTTGGATAACCCGAACCGAATAACCCGATAACCGAATAAGCAATAATATAGATACCCAAAACCCGAATCAGATTGCTTATTCGATCCTAATTCGATTTGGTTAGATTCAGGTTTCAGTTCCATTTGAATTTTCAAACCAAATTCTCATTCCTAGTTTCCACCATCCACATGGACAAGTGTTTGACTAGGTCGTGTTTGAAAATTTCACCTGGCAAATGGCAATAGTTAAGTTGGCAGTATCCCAGGTTCTGTCTCTTTTCTTACTGGATCCCACCAGTTCCTCCTCAAAACTATCTTTCACAACAACCATGTACTCGCCTGTTATTTTATAATTCCCTTGCAGAAATAACATTATTGTTTTTAAACACAATTCCCGAAATAAATATTCAATTGTTATTTATAAATTATTATTATATTTTATTTTAAAAGTATAATAGAAAATGGAGTAAATGAAGAAAGCCAAGAAACAAAGGTTATAACTAGTTGCATTCAAGAAATGTTTCTGAAATCGTTGCATAACGATGGAGAATTTGTAGCTAAAAAATGGAGTAAATGGCTAACGAAGGTTAAAGTTAGTTGCATTCAAGAAATATGTTTATAAGATATTGCATAATGTTGGAGAAATCTTTGTTGAAGAATAAGAGAAAACGGAGAAATAAAAGTTAAAACTAACTTCTTTAAGAAATATGTTTCTAAGTCGTTGCTAGAATAAGGAGAAACGAAGGTTACAATTGAATTATGGTTTTAAATAAATGTTTATTTTTGTTTATGAATTTAGCTGTTTGTGAAAAATTAAGTCCAGTTTAAGAAATAGTAATTTTGGAGATTTGGGTTTAAAGACCGAAGGGTTTGATGAATCAATAATATGCATCGTAATTTTGGACTTGGATACAATTCTCATTATGGTTAATAATATGCTTTGAAGTTGTTTTTTTTTCTCCAAATGTTAAATGGTAATTTTGTTTATTACATAGATTGATTAGATTCGGTGTAGATATAAATGTGTATTTAAGAGCAGGTTAGTTAGTTTCTCGTTTAAAAAAATAGATTCCTTCTACAATCTTATCAAGCAATACCAAATCAATTCCCTTCTAATTATTCAATATTGAATTATCCAGTTTCAACCAAAAATTTACTTAATATATTTCAAAATAAGACATATTTATGATATTGGGTTTCATAGAAAATACCATACAATTTATTAAATTCATGTCGATTTAAACGTCTATAGAATTTAATATTTCAGTAGTAAGATTTACAAAAAACATACTTTATAATGATAAAAATAAAATCGGATTTTAAGATCGAAAATATGTTATTTAGGATATATATCAAATTAAGACAAATTTTTATTATTATGTAGATAAAAATATGACATGCAATTTTATATTCAAATTTATATTGAACATTACGTTAAATATAGCTATGGTGCAAAATAAGACTACACAAGTTAAAATAAGGGATTTTAATTATAAAGTTTAAAAAATAAAAAACAAAAGTATATTAGGCAATGAAAATATGTTACGTCTAATATATGTCAATGTGACCATATAAAGGCTTATGTTTTGGTTTAAAAAAGCCTTTTTTGTTTTTTAATAGTCTAAATGTTTAAAGTCTACAATTACTAATAAGGACTCCAACTTGTAATAGTTAGTATCCATTAACATGTCACATTACATCCCACCGAATAATCCACATTTGATCCTTGTTGGTGTGTAGCATCACCACCTAGCACCACTATCAACAACTACTATTGGGCACCTCTTACCACCACCATCTTGAACTCCCTTCAAGGGCGGAGGATTGTTAGGGTCAGGAGGGGGCTGTAGCCCCCCTTATTTTATTTGTTTATTAGAAATAGTCCATATATATTGATTTTATACATATTAGGTCCAAACATATAAAATTTTGACTTTGACCCCTCCTTATTTACCAATTTTTATACACATTATATTTTCGTCTCCCCAAATTATATGTTGAAACTCCGCCACTGACTCCCTTGGTCTTCTTTAGATAAAACCTAAACGGCTAAACCCGGAAAAAAAATCCATATCTACGACACCAAAACCAAATCAAAACAAAAACATAACTTAAACAAATTTTTTTTGAACCTTTTAGATGTAATAAAAATCAAAGGGGGCATTTTTTAACTTATATCCTCTCATGCTTGAAGCAAAATCCGTCGAATTAGCACTACGAATAGTTCCTTCCAGTTTTATCATGTCTAACTGAAGCTCTTGAAGGTGCATTAGTTTACCAAGCTCATAAGGCGTTCTTCCAGTCAATGTGCTCGATTATAAGTTTCTAACAAATAAAAATTGTCGATCGGTGTAAAATGGGACACTATTCGATTCCAATAAGCTTATATTCGGTGTCCAAGTCTTGAACTTCTTATGACGTAGACCTTTAGAAAGCAAGCCTCAAATTTAATAGCAACTGCAAATACTATCATTTTTCTACATATGATAATGGATGAACAAATATTCTATAAAGTATTTCAAGAATGCACAACACCCAATGTAAAAATATATGGAAGCAATTTAAATCTTTTTAGTTCTTTTCTACTATTTTATATTTGTCATTTGTCATTTCAAACGGACAAACAAACAAACAAAAATATACCAATTCAAAAGAAAAGCAAGGAAATTATATATGTTTGATAGCTACCTCGTGCTTCATTAAAACTATATCAATATTGTTTAAATTCAGAGTATTGCTTCCACAAGGAAGAACGATGATTATGACGTTTTATATGAACCAAAATACACAAATTCAATAAGATATGTTAAAATTTTTACGATAATTACATTAAGCATTATTTCTTAAACAAATTGTCCAAGATACCTCATTTATACACATAAAAAACAATGGTTATAATGCAGATGAAAAATCAAAGTCTGCCATTTAGCAGCCATATATACCCTGTAACCATATCCAACCAAAGAGCCACCCATCAATCAAATGTTGTGTTAGAAAATAAAGGCATTCCAGAGACTGTTATTCCCAAATCATATTAAATTTGACGCACCATGTCACTTAAAATCATTATTCTTAAGAAAAATTAACCGATGATTCTTTTAAAAACATTATTCTTACGACAAATGATTCTCTTAAACAATATGTAGCAAATTAGTATTCATTAATTCTAAATTAATAATAATTGTAATTTTCGGAATTTCGCCTACTAACTAATAAGTTTGTGAAATATAAAGCTAATTCTGGCTTCTGGTTATTATTAATTTATTTGTATTAATGTATATGATCTAAAAATTTTAAAGAATGTTTTTTTTTTTTGTTTGAGATCTTTTATTATTTTATTTTATTAATATTCAAATATTTATTGCGAGACAAAGACTATAATAAAGGCCCATTTTCCACTTCCCTCCCCACAAATTCCAGTCATCGTCTCTGGATAGACTGACCCTATCAATCTTCAAAATTTTCTACTCCACTATTCGCTAACGTGCGCCATGGAGAACTACTCTTACAATTCCTACCCTGAGTCCGGCGGATCCTCGCCGAGATCGCGAGAAGTGGACTTCGAGAATCCACCACCATGGGAAGATCAGTCGACGGGGAACAATAGCAACAACAGCAACTACAAAGTCAAGTTTATGTGTAGTTACGGAGGTAAAATCCACCCAAGGCCTCACGATAACCAGCTGGCTTACATCGGCGGCGAGACTAAGATATTAGCCGTCGATCGTTCCATTAAGTTCCCTGCTCTTATCGCGAAGTTAGTAGCGTTGTGTGATGCTGATGTTTGTTTCAAGTATCAGTTACCTGGAGAAGATCTGGATGCTTTGATTTCCGTCACCAACGACGACGATCTCGACCACATGATGATTGAGTACGATCGGTTGAACAGAGCTTCACCAAAGCCGGCGAGATTGAGGCTGTTTTTGTTTCCTGTAACTACTCAAACTCCGTCAATAACTCCAGCTCATAGTTTTGGTTCCACCGATGGAAGATCAGAGCGAGACCGGTTCGTTGATGCGTTGAATTCCGGTCCAGTTCAATCGTCAACTCCGCCGTCGGCCTTGCCGATACATGGAAATGCTGATTTTCTCTTCGGTTCGGAGAAAGTTGTACCTCCGCCGCCGGTAGTGGTGTCGAAAGTTCGAGATCTTTCTATCGCGGATCCACCGATTCGTCTTCATGAGGCAGACGTTCCGATTTTAGATGATCGTGGAATCGGAGCAGATCGGATCCAGAAACATATACAGGATCTACGGAGGTTGCGAATTTCAGAAGATCAACAACAGACTCTCTACCGGAGACAAAGTGATGATAACTTAACTCCAGGGTACACAGGAGATTATTACCTCCAGAGAACATCAGATAAAGTAATTCCGACAACACTACCGGGAAGTGTACCTTCTCCGGCACCGGGATACCAAATTTCCGGCGGATTCACAGCTTCTACTATCTCACCTGATCAACAACCGGTTTACATGGTACCTCCTCCCTTAAACATGTATCACGCTCCAATGGCTAGACCGGTGACTGGTCCAATCGGTCACAATCCAGGTCAAGGTCAGGGTTATTATGCGGTTCAGAGGATGCCGACGGCGACTGAGGTTTACCGTGACCAGCCGGTATACAACGCCATGCAACCAGTACAATCACAACCTATATTCCCTCCTCAACAACCACCACCACAGCAGAAGTTAGCTTCACATCCGGAAGGGATTAGAATGGTCCAGCCAACGGCGGCGATGACCGACGCTGGGTACGGTCAAGTAGCGTATGATAACGGTGTCGGAAGGCATGTCTACTATCCTGCGCACGGGAATTTGGTTACACAACAACAACAGTACCACCAAACAATGGCTGCCACGTCAGCAATATCAAATCAAGATGCGAAGACGGTTGCTCCGACGAAGATCTCTCAAGGTTCTATCTGATCCTCTTTTATCAATCGGGTATGCTTTCCAACAAATATTCTAGTATATAATAATAATAATGGAATCCTTAATATATATATATATATATATATATATATATATATATATATATATATATATATATATATATTATATATATATTATAGTGCTGTTATATTAATACATATATGTACGATTAAATAGTTTGTTAAAACGAAGTAAGTTGTAATGTACGTGACTTTGAATCTGTTTGTTTTTGATAAAATAATATGAGATATAGATATTTGTGAAGAAAAGAAAGGACAAGACAAGAGAAAAGAGACCTAGGATTGAATAAAAAAAGGTAGATAATGGAGGGTGGTAGGGGATGCATAGGACAAGTGTTGATTTGTTGCGGGGTTTTGATAATTAAATGATATGATTCATAAACTGGTGATGAGTTGCCATAGCATGCCATGTTTATAATAGCGATTGATTGAATTTGATATGTACACAACACAAATGAAAATGGTTGCGTTTGAAATTTGGCAAACTGAATGACCGGATGCCCCCATCTATACTTCAATGGTCAATCATCATGTAAATGGACAAAAACAAATCATTTATTTATTAGTTAATATGTGTCGTATATTTTGTTATTTCACAAAATAATAGATTGGAAATTTATTGATCACGGATTGTGAATTATACATGTAGGTGATCATTTGTCAATTGTCATTCATATCTAGACGACTCATGCTCGAATATATAAATTTTGATTTTTTTTTTTTAAAGCATGTTGATGGATAAAACGAAAAATTTAAAATATGTTTGATTTGTTGATTTTAACATATAGATGATTCCTTGCTTTTCAAATCATATGTCATATCATATTCACTGTATTTTTACTATGATACCACTAACACATAAAAAATATTACCCTTCCATATTATTTATAGTTTATAACTTTTATTTCTTTTAATCGTTAGATTAAACAAAAAACATAATTATTAAACATAAATAAACATTTTACTAATAAAACATAATTACGTTAAACATTAAAACTTAGAAATTTAAATCTAGATTACAAATTGAAAAGCATAAAAATTAACGGTTATAAGTTTTAACCTACATAATTAATAAAAAGACACAGAAATCAAAATACAAAACCTAATTGCAATATTTTTAGATGAGTGTGTTGAATTTCTAAATTGTTAGGTGCTTTTTTTTAGTAAAGAGATTCCTCTATTTTTTAATATTCTTTTTGAAAAAAAAAAAAAAATAGATGCTTGTCTATTTTTTCCGAAAGTATTTATTCAGTACTTACTTGTCATGATGAAAAGATATCACTTGTTTCTCTTTGTCATTTCCCGGTAGTCGACAAAGGGAGATTTCCTGTGGATCCTCTTGACAAAGACGTTCTCGGTCTTTTATTTGAGTCGGTGATCGATTCCAAGTGCTCGTCCGGATTAAGGATCCATTTTGGACCCTCACGAATCATGACAAACATATCAGGTTTTTTGGTGGCTGAATGATTTACTGTTGTTGCTAAGCTTGTATTAGTAGCACACGGTTGATAAAATATTGAAATTATTGATACCATTTTTGTGCATATTTTTAAGATTTTAAAATGTCATTAAATTTGATGCAAGCCGCTCGTAGTTCACGTCATTTTTCGTTGACCGCGTCATGTGTCCGATATAGGCACTTTCCTAATTGCCCGTGAAAGTGGTCTAAAACACGATTCCAAAACTTTGTGTTGATTGTGCGTTATCGGTTTGCTTGTCTTCTGATATAAAAATCCAAGCTTTCATTAGAACTTTCCTCTCTTCTTCGCTCTAACTCGCGTGTTTTTTTTTTTTACCATTTCCTTTCTTTTGCCTTATTCTAGCTGGTGGTTGAGTTTCTTGGACATTTTTGTCATCGGAGGTTTGTCTGTTGGGATTGACAAAATGGAACTCACTTTGGGGTTGGGATAATTTTGCTTGAAATTGTTGAAGTGGAGTTAGTTGTGATTGAAATTATTGAGGTTGAGAAAGTCTTGAACCCATACATTTTTGTACAAATATACAAACACAACGTACAACTAAGCAATGCTTATGCTTATAGATTGTAAAAAGGGTTCCCTAAGCCCACATATTCATGCAGTCTGCAAGTACCACCCTCGACCCTAATGGAAGTGGAATTCGGCCTTTGTTTGTTTCATAATCAACATTGTTTTTATAGAAACTATTCGAATGTTATTTTTATAGTGAATTTTAACATACGAAAAAGAATTCAGTTATATTTTGTTAACTAAGAGCCTAGGATGCCCATATTATGTAGAAAGGCTAAAAACTCCATTATATGTAGATATTTATGTTGAAGAATTTTATGTAAACCCATAAAAAAAAAAAAAAAAAAAAAAAAGTTAACAAAATTCCGTACTTCCATTGTATGTCCGTTTAATTCTTTTAAAACAATGTAGTTCTCAAAAATAACATTATACAACAGGAAACACTGATCATTTAATGTCTTGAAAAGAATGGCCTCGTGTTTAATTTTACTGGATATGGTATGACATTATGACAACCTAATTTAAGACTTTATGTGTATTTGAGTTTCACCATTTAATTGTTTCACAATATCGGAATGACTCTGTCATATGGACAGTATTTTGATTCGTTCTATTTTGTCCTTCTCATACATAGAAGCAAACCGTTCATATACTAAGATCCCACCAACTACCACTATTGACATTTTCTAGAGGTGTAATAGAGTCGAGTATCAAGCTTGAAGCTCGACTTTACCAAAAAACTCGAGCTCGAAACCCGACTCAAGCTATAATTTTAAGCTCGTGATCGAGCTTGATAATGTAATTGATACTTTTGAGCTCGACTCGACTTGACTAGTTATTAAAAATATAAAAGTACATTAAATTGAAATATAAATATGACTAAGCTTGTGACCTCGACTCAACTCGGCTTGATTATGTAAAATATGAATAAAATAAATATAAAAGTATAAATATAACTAAGCTCGATTAAACTTGTGACTCAAGTATTTCAATACTCAAGCTCAACTTGATAATATACTCGAGTAGCTCAAGCTCAAGTTTGAATTGACTTGAACCGAGTCGATTTTGATTTTTGAGTTAGTATCTAGTATGTTATGAGCTGACTCAACTCGGTTACACCCTTAATGTCATCCCTATAGCCATAGTCGTTGTCTTCCACCATCGACGCCTCCTAACGTCACCATTCTCCTTGCATGAACTCGCAACAAAGCAATGACGACCTCATCTTCCTTGTCTTGCTTGCCTCCGATGATCTCCCCCATCAACAACAACAAGCACTGAAGACCTCTTTCCATCCACCATCGTCGTCTTCCTCCTTCCTCGTTTTCTAAATCGATCGGGTAAGCTTGTTGAAATCGTCTTCCTCCTTCCTTGTTTCTTAAATTTGAAGTGGAATTGAAAATAACTTAATCTTGTTGTACAGTTTTACAATTTTAAGAATTGGCTTGATGTTGTTATTTTTTCATTTCAAAATAGGTTGATTGTAATTCTAAATAAAAGAGTAAAATGATAATTTTTTCTCATTAAACACACTTATTCAACAACATTATCAACCGTTGTGTTTTCATGCAAAGACATATTCATTCAGAGCCTCGGAATGATTGAAACGTTATCATACAACTCCATAATATTGTACATTTCCGTAGGAAAAACAATGTTTACAATAATAGATAACTTGACAATACTTTTAAAAGTTCAATACATAAAAAAAATTAACAATAACAAATAAATTAAATTTATTAACTAAAATGTAAAAGCTTGTACTATACGTCTCGAATTTCAACATTTTTTTTGTAAGATGTAATTAAAACAACCATTTTCATAAAATTGAAGTACTAATATTTCTAAAATTCCAAAACATGTCAAGTGAAAACCATTGTATCAAAAGACCACAATTTTCCTCATCAACCGGGTCAGGGGCACGGCTATCTTGGAGAAGTCCTGAATGAATCTCCGATAATGGCATGCTAGTCCCAGAAAGCTCTGAATCTCAGATGGAGACCTCGGAACCTCCCACCTCATCACGGCCTCTACATTGGCCGGGTTAACCGAAATCTCGTTTTGGTTGACAAGGTGCCCAAGAAACTGCACCTCGCGCAACCAGAACTCGCACTTGGAGAACTTAGCATACAAGTTCTCCCTCCTCAAAGTATCCAACACCTCCCGCAAGTGCTCATCATGCTGCTCCTGCGTCTTGGAATAAACCAATATATCATCAACGAAAACAATCACAGACCTATCCAACATCGGCCTACACATGCAGTTCATGAGATCCATAAATGAGGTAGGAGCATTGGTGATCCCAAAAGGCATCACCACGAACTCATAGTGACCATATCGCGTCTGAAAAGTAGTCTTCTGCACACCCTCCTCTATGACCCTCATCTGATGATAACCCGAACGCAAATCAGTCTTGGAGAACCAAGATGCTCCCTAAAGCTGGTCAAAAAGATCATCAATCCTCGGGAGTGGGTAACGGTTCTTCACTATTACCTTATTCAGCTCTCGGTAATCTATACACATCCGATGCGACTCGTCGTTCTTTTTCACAAATAAAATTGGGCTCCCCAGGGCGACTGCTCGACCTAATGAATCTCTTGTCTAATAGATCCTGCACCTGTGTAGACAAGTCCTGCATCTAAGGCGGAGCCAACCGATACGGTGCCTCGCCTATCGGAGCCACACCGGGGACTAGGTCGATCCTGAACTCTACCTACCTTTACGGAGGTATCCTAGGTAGCTCCTCAAGGAATACATCCGCGAACTCTCGTACCACCGATACATTGCCCACAATCACCTTACTCGCCTTCCGGATATCCATAACGTAGGCAACATATCCAGCGCAACCCTGCTAGAGGTAGCGACTAGCCCTCGCCTGTAACGACGTAAGTTTTAAAAAAATCATTTTCAAAACACATACTTTTCATAACATATTGTATAAAAATCTCGTTTGTTCAATTTACAAAACACAACTCCATGTTTGATTAATTAATAATCGAGGATCCTCAAAACGTAACTCTTTCTCTGGTGTATACAATCAAGTCGGTGCCGTCCCACGATCCTGAGAAACCTGAAACACATAACACATAACACGGTAAGCACGAAGCTTAGTGAGTTCCCCAAAATACCACATACATATAACTAGCCACTCGTGGCTATGGCTTTAAGAGACCTTCCGATCGATGTGTCTCAGTGGACCTTCCGGCTCCACAACTCTGGTAGACCTTCCGGTCCTACCTATAATGACCTTTCGGTCCTGCAGCTCGTTGGTCCCTTAGGTCCGGTCTAGCTCGTTGGACCCTCTGCTCCGGTATGGTTGAGCCTTCCGGCCTCATATATCATTGGACCTTCCGGTTAGGTCTAAATAACTCATAGCAGAATATCACATAGACAAGATGCATAACTCAAGTAAGCACATAAGACCTTCCGTTCACACATAAATACCACTCTAGGTAACGTATAGTGAGAAGACTCACCTTGGTTAGTAGGTAACCGATAAGCACTCGGAAATCTTGGACTAGCCTCCGCCTAACACATAAGACAAGCATCTCAATCATTATCCGACTTATTACTCTTTATACCTTAAGTCCTCTTTTCCTCTTTTGATCCTCAGGATGGGTAAAAGACCATTTTACCCCTCCTTAGCCCCATCTGCCCCCTTACTGGCCCACTCATGAAGTTAACAGAAGTCAACCTGGGTCAACATTCCATGTTGACCTAACTCACCGAGTGCACACCTGTGACTCACCGAGTCCCCTCGAGTTCTCCATGATCTTCCTAGGGTTCTCTCAGCTCACTGAGTTGACTCCTAACTCGATGAGTCAACACTGGCCAAGACTACCAGGTCACACCCGCTACAACTCGTCGAGTCATCCCATGGACTCGGCGAGTTGGCTCCATTTGGATTACCCATTTAGTCACCTGAGTTCAGATATGTAGCTCTAACTCATAGATCTAACCTCCTACTACCCAAAAGTCGCATGAAGGTCC